TATATATATAAAGACGCCCAACAGTCAGATATAGTGTTTTTTTAACTTTATTATAAACAAAAGAACGTACAGTTTGTCGAACACAGAGCACTTGTGAGCTGTGGCAGGACGTATTTGTAAATTTGAGCCTCTCTAGAATGCAATTTGGGTAAGTACGATAATTTTCCTCAAACTACGATAATTTTGAGCTGCTGATATGATGAAACAATGTTGATCATTAGTGGACTATTTTACCAGAGTGAAAACAATTCCATAGGACTTTTAACATCTAGCAGACTTTCTGCTGAGTCATGACAGTTATTTTGTCTTCCCTATTTTGTAATCCCCTCCGTGTTTACGTCACCTTGCTTTCTGATTGGCTACACGTCACATTCAACAGGCTGCAGCTCGTTTGCTCTCAGGTGAACACCACACACCAAAAAAAAATCAAACATGTTGAATATCCCCGATTTGAGGTCGGAGCAGACCCGACGTCTTTCCGAGCTGACTAGATCACTCTTTACTCACCACCCACGGCAGGAATATCTGCTATGATTATCTTTAGTCATCGTGTTAATCTGGACTTACTTAAAATTGTTGAAAGGGCAAAAATTGGCATGATTATCTTTCCGTGTGACGCAGGCCTAACTTAAGCAAAAAATGTAAAAATAAATAAATAAACAAACAGAATCTTACCAGCAGCAAAACGTGCCTCCTGCTCCCCCTCTGTCAGATCAGAATAAGAGTTGAAGTCTGACTCCAGAGCTGCTGGAGTGTCCATGGGCTTGCACCAGCCCTTCCACTCTATCAGGTGGGCCACTCTGCCCTGCGCCATGGCTGTAGGCTTTGTCACATGGTCCTTCACTACCTGTGAAATACCTGCAGCACACGCAACAGGAGTTATACCACATCAGTGTGTGCGCACGCTGTTCATTTGACTACACTGTTGGAAGTGTGAAAATACTGCACTCACCATGCAGGGAGGATCGTGCTAAAGCAGCAATCTCTTGAATGGTGAGAGCTCTTCTTGATTTTGGTAGCATTTCAATGGTGTCATCAACATTCACCTGAAACGAAAAAAATAAAAAATAAAATGAATGTGCCTCAGAAGTTCTCAGTCTCTCAGCGTGAATGTGAGCCACATCTGATCACATTCTCCTCTGACTCACAGGAAAACCCTGTACCACCGTTTGGTGGAGAACTCCTGCCGTCAGAGTGCTTCAGCAAATTCAGACTCTTTCAAGGACTTAAAAACCAGAGGTTTTTTTCTCCTCGAGTTTGCACTGCATTTTAACAAGTTACAGCCGTACTGCAAAAACAAACAAATAAACACAACAAAAATATTACCTCATAGCCTCGCATTAATATCTCATGGCCACAAGATAATTATTGCATTCATTTCCATGCAGAGGCTGTTGATTGTCTGAATTAATTTAATTTTAATATTCTTTTTTTATCAGAGTGTACAATGAAAAATGGAAAAACATGCCTTTGTTCATTTTCTGTTTCAAATGATAAAACGAAGTCCCTGATAATCTATATGAAACCTTCTCCACCCTTACACATGGCCTCTGCCCAATGTACTGATATGTCACATGATCAAAAGAACGTCATTTGATTGGCCAAACATCACTCGACTCGATCTTGTGTTGATTGCTTTGGATTGAGTCCACAGGAGGTCAACACTTTTTTGCAGCAAATTTCTACAGGTAAATTTTTTGCTGGAAAGGATAAAAATAAAATTTTCTGTGATGGACTTGCGACCTGTCCAGGGTGTACCCCGCCCCTCGCACTGTGACTGCTGGATATGGGCACCTGTGACCCATGCGACCCTGAAATGGAAGAAGCGTGTACAGAAAATGGATGGATGGATGAAGGATAAAAATTCAGTGTTATAAATTTAATGTCCACAAAAGTTTGATTCTAATGAGATTATTTTTCTGTCATAACTTTGATTTCTGAGTAAAATATAATTGATATTAAAATGGTGTGACTGCAAGTCAGTAAAGCTTTATGACAACTTGCATGTGTGAAATAAAAAATATTAAAATATAGTAATCTGAATTGATATAATTTTGCACATTGAGCAAAATGTATCTGTTGGGTGGCATCAGATTAAATTCACTGTAGAATGTCCTCAGTTAAACTTTTTGGTAAAAACAAGAATTTAGAATCTAGAATTTTTTCACAGAAAAATAAAATAAATACACAGAAACACAGGACTGAGTCTCTTTCTCCTCCTCCTCTTCAATTAGTTTACCAGACTGTGTAAAGTCAAAGCATAGAAAGACCATCAGTGTAAGGATCTGTCTTGTGTGTGTGCTTTCTGTTGTCTTGTGCCTCTCTCTGGTGAGAGAGAGAGAGAGAGAGAGAGAGAGAGAGAGAGAGAGAGAGAGAGAGAG